TTAGATAAGCGACTTTGTGTCGTTTTTCAAGTAATTCTAAACAAAATTTTGCACATATTTTTGACATTGTGACAAAATCTTACAAAATTCTCCCACTTTACCCAAAAAATTTCATTCATTTTACCTATTTGAATATTAATCTATGAGAAATATTGCTGATTTCTGAAAAAATGCTTGTTTGTGTTATTTATCCTTGAGTCTCCATTGAAACGTATTGTACATGTAGCGGCACGGTAGCGACGATGACAAAAAGTGGTTTTGAGGTATCTTGCGTGGATTTACCTTCTGAAATCTCGATAACAGTTAAGAATATAATAATGCAACAGTTACTGTGAATACAATGAACGATCCCCTTTTCTGATTACGTTCTTTCGTAAGATGTCGGTATTTCTTTAGTGTTCGTTAATGCAACGTTCGTTACAAAGAATCGTAGGTTGTTTTGGCTTTCCCTGTACGCCCAGCCATTCATTGTTTATTTTGTAAAATTTGTATACTGATTTGTGTTATAATGAATAAAAATGAGATTTGTATCAAACACAACAATCCTATAGAATATTGCTTGTTCTTTGTTTATCAATAGTCAAGAAAATTTTTATTTTCTCAGGAGTGAAAGGAAATGCACTTTCACTATATGATCTATATAGCCCACCCCTAGCACCAGAACCCCTCACCCTGGCGTCATGAATTTCACAATTTTGGTAGAGTCACCCTTGCTAATCATAACTATGTATTTAATTTGTTTAAATAATACCCAGGAGTCGAGAAGAAGATTTTCAAAGAAATTTTGCTTTTTCACTATATAATCAATAGAGCCCCCCCCCCCTTTTCACCAGAACCCTTGACCCTGGGGCCATGAATTTCACAATTTTGGTAGAGTAACCCTTGCTTATCATAACTATCTATTCAATTTGTTTCAATAATACCCAGGGGGTAGAGAAGAAGATTTTCAAAGAAATAATGCACTTTCACTATATGATCTATATAGCCCACCCCTAGCACCAGAACCCCTGACCCTGGGGCCATGAATTTCACAATTTTGATAGAGTCACTCTTGCTAATCATAACTATGTATTTAATTTGTTTAAATAATACTCAGGAGTAGAGAAGAAGATTTTCAAAGAAATAATGCACTTTCACTATATGATCCATATAGCCCACCCTAGCACCAGAACCCCTGACCCTGGGGCCATGAATTTCACAATTTTGGTAGAGGGCTCAATGCTTATTACAATCATGCCAACAGTTTGACTGCTTGATGTCCAGGAGTAAAGAAGAAGATTTTTAAAGATTGCATTAATTTTGGTGGTTTTAGCCCCACCCCTCAGGTCCAAGGGGGGCAGGGACCATGAAATTGACAAATTTTGTTCCCCTTCACACATAGATGCCATATGCTAAAATTGGCTGAAATTGGTTCAGCGGTTTCAGAGAAGAAGCTGAAAATGTTCAAATGTTAACAACGACGCACGACGCACGACGGACGACGCACGACGACGGACGAAAACAGATAGCAATAGGTCACCTGAGTAACTCAGGTGACCTAAAAAATCAGTTACAAGATTGACTCAATGTATGGCGCAGAATAAATGCATGAGTACTAAAGTTTTATTTCCTTGCAACTTAAGGTAGATCGCGGGTTTGCTGACGTCACAATAGGATTGGACGTAGAAAGTCTACCGCGTGTACAGTATTAAACTACAAACAATCAAAAAATATCTTCAGCAGTATACATTAAAAATGAAACATACAGTAAAGCTTGTGTAGTCTGTCAAATATTTTTCTCCTATATAATTAAAAATAAAGGATGGATTAATAATAAAATTAAGGGAGCCGACTGGGGTTTTATTGTGTGAAAACTACTATAGAGAAACTCTTTAATTTTATATCATATATACCTTACATTGACTTCAGTATATATGCCAAGTTTAGTGAACATCTACCGTCTGGTTATTTTTTAGGGACCATCTCAAAATATAGGTACATTTACAATAGGGTTATATAGGAAAATACCATTTTTTCGCACTTCGGAGCAAATTATACAAATGCTACTATAGACTTTTTGCTCAAATTATATTATTTGATGGGTAATACTATATTGTACATTTTTTGCAAGAAACACAAAAATCTAGCGTCTGGTTTCCAGAGGGGGCATCTCAAAATGTCAAAAATCGTGATATTTTCCTGTTTTTATGGAGTACAACAAAACATGACAGATACCACAGATTTACATAAAAAATATTAAAAATGACTGTGAGATTCTCATTTTCCTGTGTTCAAAATTTCAAGAGCATCTATTTTATACTTTTTATTTCATGACATAATACATGACCCCGCTTAAAGAACTTCGGTTATTCATAACGTCAGAAACACGCTATTACGACGTCCATCTACCCATCATTTGAAAAATCGTTTAAAAAATCAGTTATTTAAAAACGTAATTAGATTTTTTAACCTCAATTTTCCTAAATTTGTTAATTTTTATAAATTATGTAAAAATAGTTGCTTTAAAAGAGTAAATACGCTTTATTTTACTATGCTGCGCGAAGTATTGCGCAATGAAAACCCCAGTCGGCCCCCTTAAGAGTTTTCATTATGTTGGAAAATGCAAGGGTTTAAACTAATTCTGCTTATCAAAGTAAAACACAGTAATTCATCATTCTTTGTATATATAATTGTAATTCAATTTATTTTTGCGGAATTTAAAAATTACATCATTTTTAAAAGAAAAAAATGCGTCACAATCAAAGTTTGTTTTACAGAAAACAATAGCAAGCTTTAATAACTTAGTTTTAAAAAACAAAAAAACAACACAAAGAAAAGACGGAAGATGCCCACAGGAAAACGTCATTGCACATTAAATGGCAAAGGACTAGTCTGTTGGATTGATATCAACACCAAACTGGGAGCAGTTTAATAGTTAATACGGATTAAAATTCCCAAATTGGAAGCACGAACAACAACCCCCTCACCTCCGGAATGGCGTGTCAGCGATGTTGAGGCCAAGGCAGTCTTTTACATAGTCTTTTTCACATTGATATTATGAATGTGTACCCTTCTAAGATGTCATAATGTTGATACAATACAAAGGCGGATCCAGCGCCGGAGTGACAAGCGCCTGCTCTCCAATCTGATTTTTTATTCTAAACTTTTGTAAAAAAAAAATTTTGTTTCATTTCATGACTAGATACGTGACTAGATACTATGTTTTACACATAAGGCTACACATCTCTAAATCATTATAACAAAGTATTTATTATCTTGATGAAATGCACGACTGGAATTTTTAATATCTGGAAATCTGATTTTTCTAAGATCAACACTATTGTCTGAGCCACGCACAGTTAAGAGGGAAATAAATAGTCAGTATGATGCGTCACCATGCTTTTCGGTCTATCATATCTACATGTAATTTGTTTGCAGGGGGGGGGGGGGGGTCAGTGGTGAATTAGATAATTCTCAACAAGCGAGACGTTCATCAATATAGTTTTGAGGTGATATTTTTTTTAATTATATGCAGTAATCAATTCTAAAAAGAATTACAAGTCGTTAACACCATAAAATAAAACATATGTACGTTCTAAATTGCCATCTATAACCCCAGCCCTTCTATTCTTGCATGACATCCAAAAGTGATTCACCGTAGACCTGCTGATGGTGTTGTGTGTGTGAGTGTTGGGGGGGGGGGTAGAGGCAAGAGTTGCTCCCCCTCATTCTGAAATTTCTGGTTCCGCCACTGAAATACTTGATTATTCCTAGGCTGTTTATCCCCCCCCCCAAAAAAAAAACAAGCAAACAAACAAAACAATAAAGCTTTTAATGAAATGTACGATAATTGGTATTCGAGTGAATTCTTCATTTTATATAGTTTACGGGCACAATCTCATATCTATTTTAGTATTGAAAATGTAAACATGAACTCTGATGCAGTCGCTTCAGATATTATATAAGTAAATGTTTTGTTTGTTAAATTCGTTTGTTTGTTTGTTGTTTTACGTCCCTCTCGATATGGAGACGCCACCACTTGCAGGTGGAGAGCTGCATATTTATACCTTTACCGGGCACGCAGGGCCATTGAGCAGAGAGGGTTTTTTTTTCGTGCCAACACCTACTAAGACACGGGACCTTGGTTTATACGGTCTCATCCAAAAGACCGGTCTCCATGTCCCGCAGTGGATTTGAACCCGCGACTCTAGAGCAGACACTCTAACCAGTGCGCCACGCGGGTGACTATATCAGTATATCCGATTAACGTTACATCAAGATAAAGTTCAACTGAAAAGCATGAAAATTACAAGCAATAAAATTCCAAAGGGGTGGATTTGGCGGCTTTCATAACATTTCTTCCTTATGTAAACAATTATCAAGATTTAATCTGTACTTGTAATTACCCCCCCCCCCCCCCCCACCGTAATAAAGAGTACCTCTTTTATTTTTCATTTTAATAACCTGTATTCACAAGTTATTTACTTACCCCCATAATTATCATAATAAATTACTTTTAGGTATATGGTATTTATCATTTCATTTAGCAATATTTATATCTGCAAATGTTTTTCTCTTAAACTATGCGGAGGGTATATCACTGTATATCATGAGTTAAATTATATAACTGTGCAGAAACTTGTCACCAGAACGTCTTAAATGTAAATATAAGATATAACTGAATATAAATTTTAAACGTCGGGGTACAAATACTTTTTTACTACAAAATCAACTCTTCAATAAAGTCCTTTATTGTTTAAGATTTTTTAAAAAAAAAACTTTTTCCCCAGATACCCCTTCCCTAATACTCCCAGATGACTACTGCAAGGAACAATGATGAGAATACAGTCTGGAGGGGGAAACCCAGATACATTTAAATAAAGTTTTAAAACTTTGCAAGCAAAGTTTATGGGGAAAAAAATCCACAAGAAAGACAGACAGACAAACAATAAACCGTATCAGATTTAAGGAACAGATGTATAAGTACGTTGAATATTTGTTTCAGGGAATCTTTGTACCTACTACATACTTGGTTTTCTGTAAGCTTTGTTGTCGATGATGTAAATGTCCCAGTGTGGATGGAGGCCTATACAGGATCTCACGATGTCAGGTCTCAGGTATCTCCAGAGCCATATCACGTGATCTACACTGTCCTGTGATCTTCCTCTGTAATGTACAGCCTCCCCTCCTCTCCTTAGATCCATTAGAAATTCGTCTCTTTTATCTTCACTCTCCTTTAGTATTTGTTTTGAAACATTCACTGTAGAAGAAGACGAATATTGTCAACGTGTTAAATTTGTTATTTCAACCAAAATAAAATTCAAAATATATAGATATACCTAAACATCTAATCATTGTCCGTGTTTAATGCCCTGTTTACAGATTTGTATTGTTTTCAGGTATTTTTTAGAGATAGATCACAGTGACTGTTCATAATCTTCAACTTTTTTTCATTTTTTATTTCACAATACTTTTACCCCAGGTACTGGTAGACAGGAACCCCCCACCCCCCGATATTCCACCTCTGGGCTTATTGGACATTTTTTTCACAAATTATATTTAGGCCTATTACATTCATTTATCATCTGTACATATGAAAAAAATCGAGAAAACCACAAAAAGAAATCGCTCCACACAAAAAATACCGCACTATACATTATAAGAGAGAACCTTTCTCTCTTATAATGTATAGTGGGTTGTTTTTTGTGAGGAACGATTATTTTGGGGTTTTACCGATTTATTCCTATGGTACACATTATAAATAACTGTAATCAATATAATTTTTAAAAAAAAGTATAACAAGCCCCATGGTTGAATATCACCCCTCGAGGTGGTGGTGTGGGGTTTTGGGGAGGGGGGTCCTGTGCACAAGTACCTGTGACTTTTACATGTAAATCTTTCTTCAGTTTGTAGCATCAGTCATTGTAAACAAGCCCAATGAAGTAAATAAAATAGGCAATATCTAAGGAATCATTTCCTGAAATATTTAGAGTACTGCTTACCCTATCTTATTTATAAATATATCAATGTTCAGAATTCAATCATTCGCTTAAAGCTTTTTCTGAGATCTGAGAATAATAATATTTCTTTACACTTCCTTACATATCATTCAGATTCAACTGTGTATTTATAAGAACTACTTGTCGACAACTTTTCACATAAGAATCTAAAAATTCAGATATTGTTACACATATTTATAATTACCATTCCAAAATATATTAGAAACATTGTAATAGTTTATTTAATACGTATAAAGACATAAATTATTTATATATTAACAGCTGTTTAATCTATTCACTTACATAGTGTAATCTATATGATAAATTCTTTACACTGACTTACATCTCTGGTGTATCTTATATATATCCGTGTCCTCCATGGTGACGTGAGTCAGTATGTTCATCTGTAGACGGCGTATCAGTAAGGAATCACAGTAACCAATGACACTAATGACACACTTCTCTCCAGGTTTACTGTTGTATCCCCGTGATCTCAGGTACACACTGGCTGTGTCATAACTACTGTAATAGAATGGTATAACACTGTTTTTTGATGATATCCTATACATTGTCTCATCCTTTATGTCCTCCGTTATCTTTTCGTTATCTTTTCCTTTTTTTTTATCTTTACCTTTATCTTCCCAAAAGAAATCACGTGACTTCAGTCTGTCCAGAGTCTGCTGTGCTTCCTCACTTGTTACAGGATTCTCTTTACGGTACACTCTCCGTCCTATCCCATTAAGCATGTCCAGCCACTCTGTGTCAGTGAAGTCAGGAGGACCGGAGTCAGAACACAGAAAACAATATAACACCAACACCTCGTCATCAGTCAGTGTGGAGAACTCATCTACAGCATAAAAGTAAAATGATGGTAATGCAGAAAGTGTTCCTATTCGATTATACAACATAATTTGAGACATTTGCCTTTTTTTTCTCGGCTTGATTTTAGTTGTCTTAGAAATATACAGCAATATTAACGTTACAAAAGTTCTTAAGTATGATTTAGGATTGAATCACTATACTGACTAAAATGTATTTAAGTTAATATACTCTCTAGAAAAATGTGTATATTTTAAATGAATCTAGAAGAATTTGCACAGTCAACCATACAGAGCATTTTAATGATGCATTAAACAATGTCAGGTAATGGGTATCATATTTACATTAACTTAGTATAATGAAAAGACATAACCAAGACTCTTTCGACTTAAAATTATAAACTTAGCCAACTCAAGTAGTCAAATAATAAACTATCTTGCAAATAGAGGTATAATTAAACTAAATAGCAAACTTTTATGTAATATTTTGAATTAGTTAGAACTATGATAATAAATAACCTTTTCATTAATAGGTGGTGTACGACAACTTTTACGAAGGGGGACTAATAAATTCTCAAAGAAACATCTCAAAGGGGGGGGGGGGGGTCCTGACCAGTTTTCCTGTTTTTCTTTTTCTATTTTTTTTTTTTTTTTTTTTTTTTTTGAAGTAATTCAAATTATTGCCTTTCAGTTAAAATATTTCACTCCTTACAATGGTAACATCAAGGCTTTTTTGACAATTATATGTTAGATATCTACTCATGCAACAATAACACTGCTCGAAATTGTCGAAAAAATTGCCACAAAATGTGGAGGGGTGTGTCACTGTGAATCTTACTGAGCAATGGTACAATTTTTTTTAACAATAACATTGAAATTTTTACTTTATTTTACCAGATTACCGGATTAAGTCATGACAATAGATATTTTCATATTTTAGGCAAAATAGGTTGAGCAATATCTATTAAAGAAAAAAGGGTCAAAATTGATGAAAGCAAAGTACTGTTTGACCTCTTTGCACCTATAAAAAAAGTGTTTGGGAAATAAAATTCTAATATTAAGCAGGCAATATATGAGATGTTTTCTTTTATAAACTTCTTTTAATCATGAACCGATGTAAATGAAAATAATGAAATAAAAAGATGAACACAGAGACGTAAAGTTTGAAGAATGGATGAAAATAGGTGTTCAAATATTTTTACATTTTAATAAAATGTGTAGAATATTGCTTTGAAAATTATAGCAAACCCAATTTGTTTAATATTGGATATAACATATGTCTAGTGTTTGATTTTTATGCCCCCGGATCGAAAGATCCCGGGGGTATATGGTTTTTGTCCTGTCTGTCTGTTTGTCTGTTTATCTGTTTGTCTGTTCATCTCTTTGTCTGTCTGTCTGTTGTCAGCTTTAACCTTGCCCATAACTTTTGATTGGTTGGAGCTATGACTTTCATATTTCACATGTGTATTCCTTGTGACAAGACCTTTCTTTGGGTACCATCATATTTGACCTTTTGACCTTGACCTTGTAGTTTGACCCACTTTTGCAAAATTTTATGAGACTTTAACCTTGGCCATAACTTCTGAACAGTTGGTGCTTGGGGTTTCAAACTTCACATGTGTATTCTTTGTGACAAGGCCTTCCTTTGGATACCGACAACTTTGACCTTTTGACCTTGACCTTTGAGTTTGACCTACTTTTGAAAAACTTTAACCTTGGCTATAACTTTTGAACATTTGGTGCTTGGGGTTTCAAACTTAAAATGTGTATTCCTTGTGACAAGACCTTCCTCTGGATATCAACTTCTTTGACCCTTTGACCTTGACCTAGGAGTTTGACCTACTTTTGCAAAACTTTAACCTTGGCCATAACTTTTGAACGGTTAGAGCTAGGGCTTTCATACTTCAAATATATAATCCTTGTGACAAGACCTTCCTGTGGATACCAACCACTTTGACCTTTTGACCTTGACCTAGGAGTTTGACCTACTTTTGAAAAACTTTAACCTTGGCCATAACTTTTGAATGGTTGATGCTAGGCCTTTCATACTTCACATATGTAATCCTTGTGACATCACCTTCCTTTGAATACCAACCACTTTGACCCTTTGACTTTGACATAGGAATTTGAACTACTTTTGAAAAACTTTAACCTTGGCCATAATTTTTAAATGGTTGGTGCTGGGGCTTTCATACTTCACATATGTAATCCTTGTGACAAGATCTTCCTTTGGATACCAACCACTTTGACCCTTTGACCTTGACATAGGAGTTTGACCTACTTTCGAAAAACTTTAACCTTGGCCATAACTTTTGAATGGTTGGTGCTAAGGCTTTCATACTTTACATATGTAATCCTTGTGACAAGACCTTCCTTTGGATACCAACAACTTTGACCTTGACCTTGATGTTTTACTTACTTTTAAAAAACTTTAACCTTCGCCATAACTTTTGAACAGTTGCAGCTTGGGCTTTCAAATTTAACATTTTTTATCTTTTGGCCTGGAATTTGACTTGCATTTGAGAAGCTTTAACCTTCGCCATAAGCTGCCATACGGGGACATCAGTGTTTCACAAACACATTTTGTTTGTTTGTTTGTTTTGTTTTGTTTTGTTTTGTTTTTTTTGTTTTGTTTTTTTGTTTGTTTTTTTTTTTTTATGGTATATGTTTTATATAACTAAAAAATAATACTTCGTCTTAATTACAAATGATGCCCTTTGCATTAACCGTGTTTATTTATCTTGACTTATTGCGTGGACCTTGAGGTCCACGCAGAAAATATATAAGTGGGGTTAAACCGGATGCCATGGGCTCACGTCAGGCTACGCATGCGTGAGAATGCTAGAGAGTTCGCCTCTTAGACAACTTGCCCTTAGAACAATTCGCCCTTTTCGAATTAGAATATGCCAATCATTGGCAAACCTCGCTCTAAAATCTCCACATCGTATTTATTTATTCTTTGGCGTAACCAAGATCTGAATTTCTCTTTAATACATATATCCTTATATACAAACTAAATTCTATGGTACAAGCATTTTAAATAAGTAGGAAAGACCTATATAGATAGCTTAACAGCTTGAACATGTTGAATTCAACTACTAGGTTTCAAAAGATTTACCAGCATTAGTTTTGTGCATCAAGGTGCACTAAATAATTTGATTGACAGCAATCCAAATATAGCTTGATAGAGGCCTGTAGCAACGTTTTTCCATGTGGGGGAGAGGGAGAAACATTTTTAAAAAATCTGCATACTAAAGATCTGTGCTACATGTGTACCATCTATCTTATCTTCCGTATAAATCTAGTGCAGATGTCAAGTCCCTTACATGTATCGAAATAGCCCGATTTTTTAAAATGACAAAATTATAAGGCCAATCGGGAATAAAATTTAACAACTTTGCTATGAAAGTACAATCACTCAAAGTAGGCAGTACATTGTAGAA